CGACCCCATGTAAGAGTGCTGGATACCTGAGTGGACAATCATCACACACCAGTGCCTTTAAATGGGACAAAGGAGAGTGAGTGTGATGTTCCTCCATACCTGGAAGTGCTGGGTATGTCCCTTAACTTTTGGGGATGAGAATGGGGAAGGGTTAGACCTTCTGTCAGGTTTTTAGTGCCCCCCCCCCTCCCCCTGTATGACCACTGTCACCAAAATAGAAATTGAAAGGAAACCCATTTAAGAGTGGTCCCCAGAACAAGAGGTATGGGGAAATCTTCTAATAGGGACACTTGTTCTGTGGACAACTCTCTAAGAGGGGAATTCCCTTACTTTGGGAGATTTTTACTAATGGCTAGTGTGCATGTGACGGGCACAGTGCGGATGCGCTGGACTGCATTGCACTGTTTCTTGTTCTTTTTTAATTTTGTGAGAACTTTTTTGAAATGTCACAAGTGACATTTAATGAAGTTATATGGGTATACTGCGGTGCAGTGCGCTTGTTCTGCATCCCACCACGGTGCAATGACAAAAAGTACTGTGTGCTACACTTTTTTCAGCGCACATCACCGCACCACAATGCAATGGTGTGACTTGAGCCCACCTGAAAGATAGCAAATTGCCTTGTCTTGCGTTACAACTGCGCTGGAAAAAATGGCCAGCGCAGCTGCAATGCATCTGGTTTGAACGGGTCTTTGAGAAGCCTGTTGCATTACACTTTATGGGAAAAACACAGGTACACTTTAACTAAACAATAATAACCTAAAATATGTACTGAATGAAAATACGCTATAGTTTCATTTTAGAAAAAGCAAACAGAAACAGAAAATAGATAAAACTAAGCTGGGGGATAGAGGAAGAGCAGGAAGAGTGACCGATGATATACAGGAGGATATTAAAAGCTTAAAAAAAAAAAAAAGAGGAAGGGGAGTCGAACAGATGGATAAGGAAACGGTAACAGAACATACAGGAAGAGATGCAATGTGGTCACAATATGGTTCCTTTTAACCTTTCATTCCCTCAGGGGTGCCGCTACAACTTGATGGAAGGTCATATTGAAACGTTTCAGCTTTCATTGCAACCAGACAGGACTCCTTACTTTTAATGTAATCCTCAGATCTGCTGATTTAACTCTCACCGTTCATAAATCAAGACCTGCGCAGCATAACATTCAGCTGTACACAAATATCACAATAATATTGTACAAAGATTAATACTGTGCAGAAATTTAGGGTGATCAGCAGGGCCGGATTTTTGTCACCGCTGCCTTTAGGCACAGCCTTTGTCACCCAACACAACACCCCTCTGCTAGGGTCAAACCAACCTGTCCAAACCTGGCTCAGAATATTGTGACAGTGTATAAATTGTGTTATAAAAGATGACAGTATTTCTGCTTATGCACACCTCCCAACTTTCTGAGATGAGAAAGAGGGACCAGGGGCGTCCCGAGGCTGGGTGTCACCCGGAGTGGAGACCGGGTGACACCCCGCCGTGACGTCATCGTGCATTACATAATCACGCATGCGCGGGCGTCTTATTGACTCCTGCCGGCGGCCATCTTAGTGATGAACGCCGGCAGACAGAGGAGGGGACTTCACCCGGCGGGATGAGGTATGCCTCATCCCGGAATGTTCACCCAGTGGGATGAGGTATGCCTCCATGACCAAGCGATCGACTTTTCAGAGCGGGGTAACACCAAAATGACTGTCAAAGTGGGTGTCATTTTGGTGTCACCCCTCCAATGGTGTCACCCAGGTGCCCCCATGCCCCCCTTGTGACGCCACTGCCACCGGGTCCCTCCTCTCTCCTGACACAGTCGGACTCTCGGTCCGTGACCGAGTGCCCAACTTGTCACCCCTCCAATGGTGGCACCCGGGTGCGGGCCTCACCTCCCTTGTGATGCCACTGAGAGGGACACCTTCCAGCACAATGTATTTAGGCAATGGATGCACCAAAATTATTGGTAAGACCCATACTTTTCCTTTTATATTGGCTTTTCAAAATAGCAAAAAAAATAATTAAGAGATAGGAAGAAGGTGTTAGTGCAGAATAACTATTTTAGTAATGAAATAGAATATTTTCATAGATATCTGTACATCAGACCAAAAAGAGGGACAACTGAGGAGAAAAGAGAGACAAGAGGGTTCCAAATGGGGGACACAGCTCTGGAGTCCACAGAGGTTGAGGGTAATGGACTGAGCAATGCTGGGACACATGGTAACTTTCCTCCCTGGCCCAGCTGTCAGTGGAATTTATTGCACTATGGAGAAGAGAATTGCTGATTAATTATTTTGCTAAATGCTGAAAAATATGTGACTACAAAATGGAGCATCTCCAAAACTACTATCCACGCATGATCAATACAGAGTTTACCCCTGAGCTGTATGATGGTCCCAGGCAAGGCTGGAATCAGTCACATTACATCAACATCTGAATGTGTATGGCTGCTCAGAGCTGCAATTTATAATAATTTCTGAGGACATATTGCTGCTGAGCTTTTCAAGCACTATGTGCTAATGGATCACTATAGGGAGCACTACAGAATACATTTGATACATATGGAATATAAGATCTGCAAGTTAGATCCTGCTATGTTGAAAATGTTTAATGAAGAAGAATGGAAAAGCCAAGTGTACCCTAATGCATAATAATAATATTATTTTAGGCCCATGTCGCCTTAGTGGATGCGTTGCTGGTGGCAACTTGCCAGCAACAGGATTGCTGAAAGAGCATACGGTACACTCACCTGCTCCAACATCGTCGCTCTCTCGTTTGCTGAACCAGCGAGGTGATGCTTTGACACTTCTCCTTCATTGGCCACTGAGATTACGTAGTGTTTTGGACAGATGGAGAGAAACACCACAGTGCTCTCTTTGGTGATCCTGTTGCTGCTGAGTTGCCACCAGCAACAAGTTGACAAGTGTGACACGGCCCTTAGGGTCACCATACACGTTACAATCTGACTGTACAGTCTCTGTACAATCAACTTTAGATTTACCAATCAATTTGTATCCAATCAGGCAGGCTCTTGCACTACATAGCTGTGGGTAGATCTAAAGGCAATTGTTCAATCAGACTGCTGTAACATGTATGGTGAGCTTTAAGGTGGCCATACACTTTACAACCATCGCAAGACCTCAGTCTTGCGATGGTTGTAAAGTAATTTAAAAAACGTACGATCTGCCCATCTTGAACAGGCAGATCGTACTCTTGATCATCGCAAGGCCGCCCCCCTGAGGGTGATAGCCTGAGGGGCGGGCTTCCGATGACCGCAATGCTGAACGGGCAGTGTGCGCGTGCGCACACCGTCCCGTTCGGCATTTGTCTCCCGAGCACCGTTCAAACCAGCCGAAAATCGTACGATTTTCGGCTGGTTTTCTAGCGTGCTCCCTAGACAAAAGACGTGCGACCGTACAGTAGAAACGGTCGCACGTCTTCGTTCACACTGCTCGATTCTCGTACGATCGCGGGATTTCCCGCGATTCTCGTACGAGAATCGAGCAGTGTGTGGGCACCTTAAGGCTGGGCACACACCTTACAACCATCGCAAGACTTTTGTCTTGCGATGGTTCTAAGGTACTTAAAAAAACGTACGATCTGCCTATCTTGCATAGGCGGATCGTACTTGCGATGATCGCAAGCCACGCCCCCTGAGGGGCGTGCTTCAGATGACCGCAATGCCGAACGGACACCTTACGATAATCGTACGATCGCGGGATTTCACGCAATTATCGTACGATTATCGTAAGGTGTGTGGGGACCTAAAGGCAGATAAGAAGAATGTTTATGAGACCGGGAGCCCTGTAAACATTTACAACCTCTGTTGGCCCCAGGAATTGGTGACAGCTGGAAACTATCTGTTCCAAAACCTAACTTTTAGCAGCTCAATGCAAAAAAAAAAAAAAGATTTCTGATTGGCTGCTATGGATTAGGATGCATCACTGTTTTTATACTTCATCTCATAATGGTTCACTTCAGAGCTGATGCGTGAAAGGCGTTTTAGAGAGAAAACATTCTTGTTGCCCATAGCAACCCATCAACTATTATTTTTGCATTACAGATTTGAAAATGAAACAAGGGTTCTGATTGGTTGCTTTAGAGAAGACTTTGTTTTCCCTAAGGGACACTTTTTTCATACATCTGTGATGCTAATGTACCATTAACACTAGATGTAGGGAAATTGGTCAGAGAAGAAATCTTCCAAAGTTTGTAGAACACCCTTAGCAATGCATAAAAATAAAAAAGCAAGTACAGGAATGCTCCAACATACAATTTAACCCTAAAAAGACTAAAGGTATGTTATATTTAGCATTGTTTTGCCAAAAGGGTAGTAGGTTCTTGCTTCCCACAACCGATGTAGTAGGAGAATCAGCACTGAATGAAAGTATGCTTTAACAGTATAAGAAATAAAGTATTAATACACAAAATTAGCAGACTAACTGGACCACTGAAGAACGATGATGAGTTACAAAGTCTACCAGTCAACAGCAACCAATCGGATTGTAATTTTCTTTGTTTTAGAGTTGTCAGAACAAAAAATAGGATTGCTAGTTAGACGCTATGGGCTGTAAAACCTGCTACATTACAATTTACTCAACGAAAATCTTTATTTGCTCTCAGCGCTCTGCTCCTGTGTGTGTTTCTAAGAACTTCTGCCTGAGAACTTCTATGAAATATTAGGAACCTTGTGAGTTTTATTAGGATACAATCTCCAGAACAGCAATGCTCTCCATCCTCCCCTCTTCACCATTTCCCTTCTCTGTTTCTCTGTTGTTTTCTACTGTTTGTGTTGGTGATTTTTTAATTTCACAAGTATATGTTTCCCTGTACTGTACAGAAATACAATAAACTCTAACTTTAAAATTTTATATATATAGAGATATATATATCTCTCTATATATATGCGCTGCACAAACTGTTGGCGCTATATAAATCCTGTATAATAATAATAATTATACTAAGAGCACCCAAATCTATCTTTCAGGAGGTTATTGGTATCTTACCTTTCTTGATCATCTCAATCATTTCAACCTGTTTGGAATAATATTCCTCCACAACCGGCTTTTCCTTCTTTATTTTTTCGTTAATGGTGTCCACAGTGCTATTGTAAATAGACATGACCTCCTTGGGGACTGTCAGCTCGTCGCTCTCTACATCTGGAGGTTCAGTGAGCTTCAGTTTACTAAGAATTTGCCCTCTAATGGCTTCGATCCTCCTGTTCTTCACCTGTTCCATGTCCACTGCCTTGCACGTAGACATTGACATAGCCACATGGAGAAGGTCCACCATCAAGATCAATGACCACATCCATTGGAGCCCCATGGTTTAAATTTCCAAACACGGCAAAAAGAGGGACTTTCTCGACTGCCAGGCTTTTAGGGTTTCCTTGTTGCCTTCCTCGTGCCTCCAATTTTTCCCCACTTGGCCAGTTTAATTTAAGGCTTGTTTTGAACTCATCATCTAAATACTGTGAGTGCATCCACTTGATGTGGAGCAGTCTGGTCTCAAAGCTCCGACGAAGTACAGTTTGGCCAAAGCATAACTTTACAAAAGAGAGGCAAAGTTTGTAAACAGCATCCCACCTGGATGTAGATGATGTACAGCTTTAAGCTGCCTTGGAGATGCCTGACACTCCTAAAAGTGTGTGCCAAAGTTCTTCTTGAGGGAGCTGTATTATATGTGCTTTGTATGTAGCTTGCTCCCACTCTCTTCTATGTAATTTGACGGCCTTGTCTCTCAGCTTGCTAGAACATGCTTCTACCGGCCCCTCTTTCTCTCTCTCACTCTCTCTCTCCTTCCTCCTGTGTGCTGTAACAGGCTGAGTTTTTTTAATGCTTTTTCTGTAACTTCAAGCTCCACCCAGGATATGATGGTATGATTTTAAGTTTGACACACACAGACACAGAGTAGTTTAAGGAACTGTTGCTGGGTCCTGGGGGTGGTGAGGGCTCACAGTGAAACCTGATAATGTTTTATTAGAAAACAGCCGCAGCAGAATGTACCAACACATGGGAGATCTCACATGACTGCTGCATGCTGCAATTTACAGAGAACGATCATGTAACAATGTGCACTAGATCACAAATTTGCAGTTCCTTAAACTATTCTGTGTGTCAAATTTTCAGCAAACGTTTGTTGGACTAAATGTTTGTATGAATGATTCTGGTATCTTCAAGAGATTGCATTAACTGTGACACACCCTACGAAGGAGTTCAGGAGCCATGAAAAGTGGGGTGCTCTGTTATGAAAACATTGGGGTTGATTTACTACAGGCAAATGGACTGGCCACTTTGCTAGGGAATTTGCACTTTGCAGTGAATGTTTCCCCTTAGCTTAGTGAATGTGGTGAAATTTCATTTGCAGAGAATACCCAGTCACGTGGAAGGAAACTAAAAAAAGCTAAGGGGAAACATCTTGTGTAAAAGTGCTAATTCCCTTGCCAAGTGAACAGCCTATTTGACTTTAGTAAATCAACCCATTGACTTCAATTTCCAAAGGATGACCCCCTCCAGCCCCTTATACCATAATGCTGGTCAACGAGACTTCCCATCATGACAATGGACCAATAGTAAAAAAATGGCGACAGCACAACTTCAGTAATTGAAGATGAAATATACATAAAAGTGCTCTCCTAATTTTCATGGGGCTTTGGATGTACTGCAAAGGGTGTGATATTACATTATGGAACCTTTAGGTGTCTGCATCAATTCATCATTTTAAAAAGCGAAGTTTACACTAGAATCTTTGCATTTATTCTTTGGGCTCCACATAATGTGGAGTGTAGTAGGAACTGATTTATACATTTTTTGCTCAGCGTATAGTTGGGGGAATGCATTTGCATGGCACTACTGCCACTAGATGGCACTAATTTTCTATGTTTCTCAGCGCTATCTAGTGTCAGTGAGGAGCATAGGATTTCCTATGCTCCTCACACCATCTAGTGGCAGTAGTGCCATGCAAACTCATTCACCCAACTATACGCTGAGCAGTAGCTTTATAGATCAGCTCCATAGTGTGAACGGGCCCTGACTATTCTGTTCTGCATATTTGTTCCAGGTTAGTGACTAAGGTAGCATTGAAGGCAGGGGTTGCCTTTACTGAGCTCCCTGTGGAAGTGCTAGTTGCTGATCCAATGGCTTCAATCATTTCCGTATCACTAAGCTGGAATAAGTACGTGGCAAGAGGAGTCATACATGCTCCGGGTCAGGGACTCAAATTGTACTAAAGCCAATGGATCACAACAGCCTGGAAACTACCATTTTCAAACAAAAAGGTCAGCAATTGCATCCTCTGAATTTCTGTCAACACAGGTTTCCTTTAACTGCTGAGTGGGTCAAATTTTCATCCTGAGATTCATATCTTGCAGCTGGCTTCCCTGATCACCACATTTTTATAGCTATCAACACCTACAAAAGTTCAGGCAAGTATCCCCAGTACCGATCGGTAGCCTCCTGAATGGGAAATTGGCACAAAAGTTCGGACATTGCAAAGATGTGGTGCAGCAGCTCCAGGCACAGGATTAGGTAAACATTTTATGATGCAGAAAGAGTTATGTTACCTTATGGAATTAGAAGTTTTAGAGTAGTATTAGGGATTTAGGGAGTTTATTTTAATTGAGACTTTGTTGACTTTGGGCAAAGAGGTCTCCTAGGTCTTCCAGTTAAATTCACCTTCACAGCGTGCCCCTGCTGCTCCTTTTCCGCTGTGAAATAATTGGTGCTTCCAGAGCCTTGTTAAGGTGCCCATACACCTTACGACCATCGCAAGACTTTTGTTTTGCGATGGTCGTATGCTTATTGAAAGCTCGTACGATCTGCCCACCTTGGACGGGCAGATCGTACTTGCGATCATCGAAAGCCCGCCCCGCTGAGGGGCGGGCTTCCGATGACCGCAATGCAGAACGGGCAGTGTGCGCGTGCGCACACCGGCCCGTTCCGCAGCTATCGGACGAGCAGGCTAGAAACCCGCCGACAATCGTACGATTCTCGGCGGGTTTTCGAGCATGTTGGTTCAACAAAAGACGTGCGCCCGTACAGGAGAAACGGTCGCACGTCTTCGTTCACACTGCTCGATTCTCGTACGATCGCGGGATTTCGGCCGATTCTCGTACGAGAATCGAGCAGTGTATGGGCACCTTTAGGCTGGGTTTACACCTAGGCGTATTGAATATGCGCGGTTCGCGTCGCGCATTTTTACCGCGATTCGCGGTAAAGAAAACGCGCGACGAACGCGCGTTTCCGTGGGCTACTTGGCTGTATCCCAATGGAAACGCGTTCGGACGGGCGGAAACACGGCAAGGTGTGAACCAGACCCATTGGATACAATGGGATTTAGGCCCCATTCACACTTGGCGATTCGCAAATCGCGCGTTTGTCGTGCGAATTGCATTTTGCGCGATATCGCGCAAATGCTTGCATTGAGCAAGCTTGAATCGCGGCTAAATCCGCTCCAAAAAGGGTCCTGCTGTAGCGACGCACGACCCGCGACTGCAGGACCCTTTGCCCCATTGAGAAGCATATATATGCCGCGATATCGATGTTTGAGCGTTCGTCGAGCGTTGAACGCGCTACAAAACGTTCAGGTGTGAACCAGGCCTTAAGGTGGGTATACCTAGATTGGGGAGGGGTTGGTTGGGTTGGGCCTTGAAGACCCCGTCTAAATTGGCAAGATGACGGGGTTTCTTAAATGTTAGCACTAGACCATAGAAAGTTAAGCATTAGGTGTTGGTGTGAGCTTAAGGGTACAGTGCATCCTCAATATAAAATACATTTTTATTTAATTTTGGATAGAAGGAAAACTGTTTGAATCTATGTTCTGCTCTATGTTGTCCCCATGGAGAGATTTCCCTTTACTTTCTACCCAGGTGACAACATGTTACCAGATCAGAAAGTAAGGGGAAACCTCCAGGATGGCCATAGGCAGCAATAAAATGTTTCCTTCTTACTAGAGAAGGGGACAGTTAGAGCCCCCAACAGATTTTTTAGGCTATCTGTATCCCTCACCTCCTTTATGGGTGACAGCTTTGTCCCCAGGACAGGAAATGAAGGGAAGTCTCAACAAAGCTTTGCAGAAGTTCTAACCCCTCCCCATGCTAGCCTTCGACAAAAGACGTGCGACCGTACAGTAGAAACGGTCGCACGTCTTCGTTCACACTGCTCGATTCTCGTACGATCGCGGGATTTCGGCCGATTCTCGTACGAGAATCGAGCAGTGTATGGGCACCTTTAGGCTGGGTTTACACCTAGGCGTATTGAATATGCGCGGTTCGCGTCGCGCATTTTTACCGCGATTCGCGGTAAAGAAAACGCGCGACGAACGCGCGTTTCCGTGGGCTACTTGGCTGTATCCCAATGGAAACGCGTTCGGACGGGCGGAAACACGGCAAGGTGTGAACCAGACCCATTGGATACAATGGGATTTAGGCCCCATTCACACTTGGCGATTCGCAAATCGCGCGTTTGTCGTGCGAATTGCATTTTGCGCGATATCGCGCAAATGCTTGCATTGAGCAAGCTTGAATCGCGGCTAAATCCGCTCCAAAAAGGGTCCTGCTGTAGCGACGCACGACCCGCGACTGCAGGACCCTTTGCCCCATTGAGAAGCATATATATGCCGCGATATCGATGTTTGAGCGTTCGTCGAGCGTTGAACGCGCTACAAAACGTTCAGGTGTGAACCAGGCCTTAAGGTGGGTATACCTAGATTGGGGAGGGGTTGGTTGGGTTGGGCCTTGAAGACCCCGTCTAAATTGGCAAGATGACGGGGTTTCTTAAATGTTAGCACTAGACCATAGAAAGTTAAGCATTAGGTGTTGGTGTGAGCTTAAGGGTACAGTGCATCCTCAATATAAAATACATTTTTATTTAATTTTGGATAGAAGGAAAACTGTTTGAATCTATGTTCTGCTCTATGTTGTCCCCATGGAGAGATTTCCCTTTACTTTCTACCCAGGTGACAACATGTTACCAGATCAGAAAGTAAGGGGAAACCTCCAGGATGGCCATAGGCAGCAATAAAATGTTTCCTTCTTACTAGAGAAGGGGACAGTTAGAGCCCCCAACAGATTTTTTAGGCTATCTGTATCCCTCACCTCCTTTATGGGTGACAGCTTTGTCCCCAGGACAGGAAATGAAGGGAAGTCTCAACAAAGCTTTGCAGAAGTTCTAACCCCTCCCCATGCTAGCCAATGCTAAAAAAAAAACATGTTTTTCTCTGGGGTTACACTTTAAGGGCTCAATTTAGGGGTGGGCAAACTCTGGCCCTCCAGCTGTTGTTGAACTACAAATCCCGGGAAGCATTGCTAGATTGTCACAGCCACAGGCATGACTCCCAGAGATCGATGCATCATGAGATTTGTAGCTGCACCACACC